CCCCAAAACCCCAAAACCCCAAAACCCCAAAACCCCGATTTAATTACTTCCTAATTTCAGCAAATTTAATATAATTTTTTAATAAATTTCAGAAATATAATCGATTCAATGAGAAAAAATAGGTCATCAAATTCACTAGCAGTTAGTAAAGTTTAATTATCTAATAATCAATCCTCAAGTAGAAAAATCCTGGCAAGTTTAAATCTAAACCATAATAATTTTTTTAGGAAGAGGATTTCAAAGAGAGTAAAAGGATAAATGTTAAGAATCTCACTAAAACTTAATCTAAAATGCTAGAGATAATCCTTCATAAAAATGAAAATAACTTTAAGCAAGTTAATAATTTCTTCACAAGAGATAATAACAATATAAATGCAACATGAATACTTGGTAGTCCAAGGTATAGAATAAAATCTGCTTAAAGAAATGCAGGAAACAGAAGGAATCTAAATCTTTGTACTTTCCTACATTAAAACATAGAGATTGATAATCCAGATTAATACAAAACTTCCAGATAACCAATATTAACATCCCTCGATTTATAAAAAGTTACATCTCCTTAAAGATAATCGCCATTTAATGACATTTACAAGAAGAATCAAACTTTATTTATAATGAAAAAAAGAAAATCTTAGATGCTTGGGTCTTCAGTTTAATAAATTAAAAGGGAATCTCCAGAAAAGTAACAGAAAAATAACTAAAAAGTTAAAGATCTTCAGATAACTGACTTTGAAAAGGATTAAAAGGAGCCTGTCTTCAGAAAATAGGACATTGACGTTCTCTACATGGCTAAGTGTATTGATTCTGGTATCCCATTTTATGAGGAATAGATGCAGAAATTCCAAAAATATTGCGAGAAAGAGTCATGCAACAGAAAAGTATTCTTAAATGAAATGTTTCTTGGAATTTAAACTTGCAAAGTTTTGAGTGAGATTTTGCTGTCAACAGATAGAATCTCAAGTATTGTAAATTTTCAATAATCTTATTTCCATATAGATAATTAGTAGAAACAGAATCGGTGATGAAGGTGCAAAAATATTTGCATATGTATTAAAGAAGACCAATAATTTAGCCAAACTTGATATTTCTTCGAATGAGATATCAAAATAAGGAACTGAATATTTAGCAGATGCACTCTTACACAATCAATCTTTGGTTGACCTATAATTATTCAGTCATGATGGTCTTCATTCAAATTAAATAGGAGAAATTGGAGCAAAATGTTTTTCATAAGTCTTAGCTAAAAATAAAATTTTAACTTTTCTAAATCTTGGTGGCAACAAAATAGGCAATAATGGACTTTCATACTTAACATTATCAATGAATCCAAACGTGAATAATACACTCTAATCATTAAATGTCAGCAATGATGATATAACTTAGGAAGGCTGTTAGTATTTCTTATAATCACTTGTCCATTCACATTTAATAGAATTAGATATGAGCAAAAACTAACTTGGCTTAAAAGGTGCTGAGTAATTTGGTGAGGTTTTAAAGCACAATCATCGTTTGATAAGGCTAAACTTAAGTTAATGTTAGATCGGACCGAAAGGACTATAAGATATAATGAATGGTTTGAAAAAGAACAAGTTCATCACTCATTTAAATATTTCAAGAAATGACTTCAAATTTGGTTTACCTCACAGTCTATCATCGATATTGATGGTTAATAATATATTATAAGAATTAGATCTTAGTTTTTGCAGTCTGGGATCCAATATGATGCTTGGAGTAACTGATGGATTATTTTCTAATAGTACGCTTAAAAAATTGAATTTAAGAGGGAATCAAATTGAAGATCACCCAATAGAAATTTTGGGTCACATTTTAGACAATCCTAAGAATAAGATTACATTTTTAGATCTGAGTATGAATTTTATAACTGATTTTGGAGGATTAGCATTGGCTGAGGCACTTCATACAAATAGGTCACTAGAATATCTTAATATGAAGCTAAATTATCTTCAAGATGATTCTGCTTAGAAACTTATTCAGGCTATAAGAGGAAATAACCTTGTAATAAAAAAAATTAAGCTAGATAATAATTTTATCTCTATGAGATTCATAATGATGATTGATGAATTGCTTTAAGAAAATATCAGAAGACAAGAGTTCAACAAAATGCCAGAGTACGTTTAAACAATCTTAAATCTTCGCATTTAAGCATCTAGAATAGTTCCAACAAGAAAACTTATTGATGAAACAGTTTAAGTTAAAGTCGAAGCTAAAAAATAACTAGAAAACCAAAAATATATCTATTAATCATCAGAACAAGAGGAATCAGCAAAGACTTAGAAGTTAATTGATATTAAGGAATTGCTAAATTAATAGTTAATTGAAATTGGGAGGAGAATTGACTAAATTGAAAATTAAAAATTCCTCAAAGTCAAAGAGCTTAATGAAATAGAAAGCATGCAAATTCTTAAAAACAGAGAGATAATTGGATAAAATTACAGAGCTGGTATTGACCTTTAAGAATTGAAAAAAGGTTTGGAAAAGACTCAAATAGAAAATTAAAAGTTAGTTGAATAACTTAAGAAAGATCTTTTTCTTCTTAATGAGAAAGAAGAAGATATTCTATTCAGAATAAAGGGGTTTTAAAGCAGAATTGAACTTGAAAAAGCAGCTTAATAAGAAGCAGCGAAGGAGGAAGATAATAATTAAATTATGCAGTCATAATCCAAAAAGAGGAAGAGTATGGCAAGCAATCCAAAAACCCCTCGATCACCAACTAAAAATGAAGATTAGAATTTTCAAAAGCAAGCAGCAATTGTAAAAAGAAGATCAACTCTTAAAAATAAGAAATGATTTAAATTTAATTTCATAACTTAATTAGATGATGAATTTGAATGAATTTTGGGGTTTTGGGGTTTTGGGG